TCTCGCCTACATCGTCCATATAGGACGACTCGGGAACTCAACTCCTACCCCGGGCAGCTCACCGATCCCCTTATGCCCAGGGGAAAGGTATCAAGCCGTTTGACAGCAGATGCTGGCTGTCAAACCGGCTTTTACGCAAAACAGGCGGGAGGCAGCAAACAGCTGCGACCAGCGAAATCGCCTGCCACCGGAAGTTCCAATGCTGTACCATATTATTAACATAGTTACAGATGTTTTTTCTGAGCAGACATATATATATTAAAAATAATAATTTGTAAAAATTATAAGAGCCAAACAGAAATTTTATTCACACGCATAGGGAAACATGTATTTCAAAGTCTGCAAATGGATTTTTGCTAACCAAATGCAACCGTGAGATGAGAAGAAAAGACTTCTAAAGATACCTTAAGAATTTAACAGATTCATATAAAGGAAGATGATTTTTAAATTAACTGTATTTATAAATTTGAATTTCTTCTCCAACTCTCTATTCTGTTGGAATATCAACTGGTTATCTCAGAACAGGAAACTAAAGCTGAAGACTTACTACGCCACTGGAAGCTGAATGCTTGGAGTCCTTGAAAAATATTAAGGCACCACCTTCCAAAACCGTCCATACACAGGTCCAGTTCTTCCTAAAAGAAGGTAAAGAAAGGACACATCATTCACAGAATAACATTAACTGGGTAGGCATAAACTGAAGAGTAAGGGAGAGATTTCAGTTTGGAAAAAAATAGTATAACTATCCAAACATAGACATCAATATTCTCACTTTCTCTCCATCATCATTTTTCAACACACATTGCTCTTAATAATCAACACACAAAAGGAATATGTCTCTATGAATGATCAACTCAGTCATGATGAGAGAACGGGTTCAAAATAATATGCAGTACAGATAATATACTGTATAGCTGAAGAATGAGAGAGAGGCACAATCAGGAGGCTAATAATTCAGTTCCAAATTGCTCACAAGTAAATCAAAAAGGAGTGGGCAGAATAGCTGAGAAGCAGGTAACTGTTCTGCAATGAGTGCCTTTATTCACGGTAATGTAGACCCATTTAGTTCCTGCAAATATGCCAAAGAAAGCAATTGGCAATTTAACATGGCTTACAGAAGGTTCTAATTTTACTGATTACTTACTTTATTTAAATTCAATCTTGCTTGCTTTTACTTAATTAGTAACGATTTGTTAGTGAACTTATTAGTGATGCAGTCCCTCCACAAAATATGCTTAAGTCTCTCAAATGATACTCTACCTTGCCTGAACCAGCATTTTCAAATAGTCTTACAGAATTATAATGCTCATTACACACTTTTGGTTAGAGCCTTGCTCTTCATTTCAGCGGTAACACTTATTTGTTTAAGGAGGATTGTGGCTCAGGAATATGGTTTCATTTCCATCAGTGGCTAAAGACCTATGCCAATCTAGAGGCAAGGAATTAAAATGCCTAAGAAGTCTCTGATATCTAGGCTGCTATTGACCAGAGAAGAGATTTTATCTTGTGCCTTGAATGACTGAACAAGGAAGAAGCAGGACCTTAGAAGGCAACATCAACTGATCTATTCCACAACTGCAAGTGCTTATTATTCTAGGAAAAAAAACCCATACTTTTAATAGTCAGAGTAACTCCAGTTCCAAGCAAGAAAAAAAGTATTATTCCAAACTTCCTTCTTGCCTCTCCCTACATCAGAAAAACTGAAATAAGTCCACAAAACATACAAAACAGCCCCCTCTTACCTCAGACGTTTCCCTTTATCAGCTGTTCTTGTCCGATAGAGCATCCCAGCTTTCTCAAGAGATCTCAGCTGGGGAGATGGAGAAAAAGAAATGGTGATTTAATCTTGTCCAGGTTGCTAGGGAAAACCCCATCATCAGAGCAAAGGATGGCTCTGCTGTTAGATAGGGTCAGTAGCAACAACCTCATGTCACTGAGGATTGCTTTTAAACAAATCCAAAGTCACTGGGAGGAGGGGTAGGCTCCCCTCACTTCCCAAGCATGGTTATCATCTGGCTTAAAGCCACTGTAAGTTTAAGAAATAAATCTAGGAATCAAGACAATACAACACTTCAGATGTTGCCTAATTTAATCTTAAGTACAGGAAAGATACTAAAAATTGGGAGCCTAGTCAGTAGACATTTTATATTTGCATTATCAAACTGATTAAAATCGGAGCCCCTTTTCACCTTCCTTAGAGAGAAAATAATTGTAGAGTTTCTTCTACTGCTGTGAAGCTTGGTTTCTCAGTTACAATTTAAGAAAATAAGATCAGGAAATGGACAATGTGGAAATTATAATTGCAGGCATTACCTGGTTGTTTGAAAGTGGTAGCTTGTTTAGCCATCCTATTCTCATCATTCCCTCCCTCTTTCCAAAAGGTCTTCCTGGTTTAAACTATGCAAAGGATCAGGATACTAGTTGGCTTCTCCCTTTAATTTATTTATCAAAACCCCTCTTTAGATCTGCCATCAGCAAGCAGAGACCCTTTCTTCCATACCTGCTCATCTTTTGACCCCGGATGAACTGACTGGTTGGGGGACCAACTTGCAAAAGGACTGCTGCCACGACTAGATCCACTACTGGTACTCTGGTGATCGCCAGAAGTGGTCATCTAAGTATAATAATTTTAGCAGCAGTAAACAACATACAGGCATGCATACAACAGTTCTCCAGGATTGTGATCTACTGTATTGCAACACTCAAATTTGTATTTACATCTATCAATAAATAACCCATTTTACCTCCTCTTACTTTCAGCAGATGAATCTGTATGCCAATTGCTTAAACTTTAGAATCTGTTTTACAGATTGGCATTTTTACTGTGTCCATCTCATTCAGTGACTGGGATCATAGAGGCAAATGGTGGTTTGCTTAACCATGGGTTTCTGAAGAAATTATAATGGCTGGGAATACATTATAGAGTAAATCCTTTGTTCTATGTGATTAAATTTTTAATGTTTTAATTTAAAGAGCCCTGATTCTACCATTTGAATGTCTCAGCCTCATTGTAAATGTAATCTTGTATTCACAGAATCATAGGATTGGAACGACCTTGGAGGTCTTCTAATCCAACCTTTTGCCCAGGGCAGGTATCCTCAGATCTGCCCAACTGGGTTCCCAACTTTTGTTTGAAAATCTCTAGAGATGGAGCATCCCCAATACCAGGAATAGGCCAGTCCATTGCTTAATAGTTCTCATGGTCTGGAAATTCCTCCTTGGATCTCCCTCTGTGCCCCTGCTCCCAGTCTTTCCAAGATATTCTTACCATCTCTGGGACATCAAACATTGATGTTTCTGGGGTGCCAAGGGAGGCACAACCCTGGTCTGCTGAAGGAATACCAGTATAGTCAAATTGTTTGTAGGATCCATCTGGAGAATAATCTTCCTCTGGAGAAAGTTCAAGTTCTCGAGGAGAAAGTTTTGGGTAGTCTGTTTCTGGAGTTGGTGGCTGAAAAAAATTTCAGAAAAAAGTTCAATACACAAACAATTTTTCTTCCTCTCCAAACAGTTGAAGGGATTCTGGCTTAGAGGTTTCTTTCCCCAAGGCTTGAGAATTGTGGAACAACTTCTTCACCCCAAAATCCAGCCTTGCTGGACTCTAAAAAGGTCCTGAAGATCTGCTTCTTCTCCAGGTATTAGCCCAATTATAATTATGAGTTATGGGCCTGATCCCCACCACAATATATTTTATTTTACTTTATTACTTTATAATTTTTCTTTGTATTTGATGTTTTTAAGAGACCCCTCTTCCCATCCACTTACCCTCTGATCCGGAGATCTCCTAGTAAGTGCAGGCCGCATCTCTGGAGGATTGAGAATTTCTTTTGGTGCCTCCCACGAAGTCTCACCTGTTGCTGCGTTATAGAAAAATATTTGCCCACTGGCCTCATCTACATACTGGTTCCACTCAGCAGATGAGACAGGGCTGGGAGAGCGGGAGTGGGAAAGACTCACACTATTCAAGGAAGCCTCAAAAGGAGACTCCCAAGTTGTCTGACCAGACACAGAATTGTAATAGAAGAAATGACCACTTTTGGTGTCGGTGTGAATTTCCCAGTTGTTCAAGGGGTTGCTGAGGCACAGCTGGAATGGGGAGTGGGAATCGTTGGCAGTGGTAGTACTGTGCTCCAACTGAAGTTCTTGTATGTTCACATATACTGGATCTGTGGCCACATCTTCAAGCAACTATGAAAACAATAAAGAAAAGTAATCCAACCACATCTTTGTATGAAACCTGTCCCTTAACCAGCTCTCTGAATGGCTTCTATAATTCCTGGCTAGTTACTAAGGAGCCAGAATTATGAAATCACACTTAAACAATTAATAATTAGCAATAATCTAATAAAGTCCATTTTTTTAAAAACCCAAATATAACAAACAGCAAAAGAAATCAGATAATATACAATTTAAGGAAAGATACAAAAATTTAATTATTCCATACTCAATATTTCTGCTCCAAAAGACATTTGTACAAATTAAAGAAATCTTCAAGACTCTTTGTGCATTAAGTGTGGAAAATAATCTTGGCAGAAATACCATGATTACAATTATTTTGAGATGTAATGCTGCTTGCTTGCAATGGCCTGACTTTTTTATATTAATAAGCAAACAATTCATTAAACACACCCAGTCCAATGTTTTGCTGTTTCACTCAAAAGTAAATCAAACCAGGCTTCCAGTTTTGATGTCACGGTGAGGCAGACACAGGAAGACTGGGCTCCATCTTTCGCATTCGATTTTGCCCCACTGGGAACCCTGGAGAGGGTCGAAAGTCACCCCATAGAGGTAACAAGCAAGGAGGGGAATGGCAGCCCTTCTGTTTGATCCGAGGAAGCCCTCCAAACTGGCAGGGGAAAGACTGGCTACATTCATGTAGCCAGTTAAAAGTGGCTGACAACGGAAGACAATAAGCATCAACAAGCAACATTACAGCAACATGGATGAAACTGGGTGAGACCTGATCCTCTCTTTATGATTTAAGACCTCTTCCTGAAAAACTGCCAAAAGCACTCCCCCTGATGAGAGAGAGAAGGGGAATTTCTGCCCCATTCTCTCAGAAAAAGAAAGCGCCGATTTAATTACTTGGGGAAAATGGACTACAAGACTAATTTGGAATTAATATATATATATATATATATATATATATATATATATATATATATATATATATATATATATATATATATATATATATATATATATGGCTTGAAAATCTGGGGTCTAAAAGTGCTTTTAAGACCTTTTTTTTTAAAGGGACTTGAAAGGTTTACAATATATGCTTTGGATTTTAAAAAACCCTGGAAAATGGCGTCAATGACATCTAATGTTGAATTTATGGCACGACAACATTATGCCTAAAAGAAACCTATCTCGAAGCCCAGATTTAGATAAGACTCTGGCTGGCCTTAGAAGCTTTTACTTTTGAAGATTGCAGCTGAGAAAAGGGAAAAGGCTTGGGGGCTGCTTATCTGTGTGGCAGAGATGATAAACTATTCTAAAATTGGCCTGTCTGAACACAAATACTTACTTTCAGAACTGTATTATGGAACTATTTTCCTTTAGAAGAAATATACACTATTGCCTGATATGATGGAACATTTTGGATTATAAATCTTGATTGATAAACAACTTTTAATGGTTCTTTCTTCTCCCTGGACAGAAAGGATATATTTCTCATTGGACAGAAAAATTTGAATTTTATTTATGTTTGCTTAGGGGAGGTTTAAGAAAGGATTGATAAATTGGTTGGATAATCTGGAGCTCCAATAATAATTAACTGAAACTTTCTAAATTCTCAAATAGATTTTTATAAAGGCCATTTACAAAAAATAAAATGGATGTTCCATATTTAGCTCTAAGTAGTAAAAAACCATCCTTAACATCTGTCTCTATAAGCCTCAGTTTAACATACCACCAAGAAAATACTGATGAGTCACAGAAAGAAATTCTCTCCATGTTGAAATTAATACAAGAAACAATTGCCTTAGCTCGTGATGAGAGTAAAAATAACACAAAGAAGATAAAAGAACAATTTTCTAATTTAAATCTACAAACTCAGAAAATAACCACAGAGAAGGAACTAGCAACCCAGAAAATAGGAAAACCAGAGAAAGCTGACCCAAATAGAGAGGATTTAAAGGAAAAAACTAATAGCCAGACTCAGACAAATGAAGAATTAGAAGACATAACGATAATATTGGAAATGGAAAAGACATTTCATCAACCAAGATTTTAGAGCATACTGGAGGATAAGGAAGGAAAGCCGATGGAATGGAAGATAAAGCTGTTACCATAACTGTTGGGAATTGGAGAAGGAGGAAGGCTGTTTAATAAATATCAATGGGCTAGCTCTTCCAAAAATACTTTAACTAAATTGTTTCTTTTGCTCCAAATAATACACACAAAAATAGAGGAAGAATTATCTGATGATGCAAATACACTGTCTTGGAAAGTTAGTTGGCAAAGGAAGAAAGCTAGAGTAAAACTGAAGAAAACAGAAGCTTTGCGATTAGAGGGGATATTATATTATTAATTAGATGTTTGAATTTGGTTAAGAATAGATGGCTAGAAACAGAAGTATTATTATAACTAGATAGATAAGATTGGTAATCAGAATATCATATTTTGGCATGAAAAAAACCCCAAGAAAATGCTAAGAAGTTTGAATAAGGAAAGTTTTTGGTTACCCAAATATAACTTGTTTTGAAATTATAAATGATTGGGATATTTTGAATATGGATGGGAAATTAAAACTGAAAAAAAAGAAAATAGGGGATATTGACTGAATAAATGGATATTGAGTGCAAATGCAATTAAGACGTTTTGGTTAGAAAAGATATTTTAAACTGATATCATTGATGCTATTAGAAAACTGTAATAAATGCTGATATTCAACTATATATTTATTAACAATAAGAACTATATTTGCTTAATGTGGAAAAATGTTTATTACCAGAAGAAGAGAGGATGTATTGGATGGTGTAATATTGGATTTAGTTTGAAAAAGCTTATATGTACCATGGAATTACTAATGGACCCAGCCAACATGTTGTCTATTAAGCACTTGTTTGTAAAAATAGAAAATTAATAAAATATTTTTTAAAAAAGTAAATCAAACCAGCAATGTACCCCTCAAATCTGTCACTGTTCCTTGTGATGACTCCATTACATTTTTACTTGTACCCTTCTAACATTTGAAAAGTAGAGTATAGTATTTATAGAACAGCTTATATCTTCCGGCTTCCCTTATTTTCACCATGACAATTGTCCTTGCCTTGGATGATCTTTAAACTGATAGTTAACATTCTATAACTTTGGAGTATTTTCCATCCAACCCCTCTGTTCTCATGTTTGTACTTGTGTCTTTTAACAGTGTTTAGGTGTGTGGAACTTAGCAATGAATGTGCATATTTTTTTTTGCCAAAGATGCAATGTTTTCTCACCTGCTGTCTTTAATAATTTGACTATTAAGTAATCAAACTAACTTACTGACAAACTCCAGTAAATATTAGTTATACATTAAGCTTGTTGTAGATCTATAGCAAAGAAAAAGTTTGAAATCCAAAATAAAAGTTGGACACAAGTATTTTCTCTGGATTCTGCATTTTAACTCTAAACTTCAGTTATCCCTTTCAAATGATCTTAACTCAATTTTAATGCTGTAATTGGAATGTGTATTGCTCTATCTTGCATATGTATCTACTAAGTGTATAGTTCTACATCAACTACAGTGTTGTGGCAACCTTGCCAAATCCAGTTCTTAGACACTGAACTTCTGTTCCCATAACTGATAAGCCATTATGTAAGAGAAAATAGAAATGTAGATTATTTTCCTGAGAAAGCCCTTAACTGACTACATGAAGTCTTTTTTTTCTCAACCTTTTCCTTTCAATATTTTTCTACTATTTAGACTATGACAAGTAAAATAAACTACACTGCCCAGATGAGGCTTAATTGAAATCACAATTTAATGTTTGGTCTGGATTAGAATGAAGACTTTAAAAAAAAAGGCCAGATTCAAGCCCCTGGAATTTAATTTAGTGAGAATTAATCTGATGATTACCAACTTCTAATGTGACTAGGGCTATGGTATAGATCAGTCCCTGCTTACAATCTTGAATAGTCTTTCACAGCCTAATATATTCTTGATTTGGTGGACTCTCCTAACCATCTTTACTCAATATGGCAATTTGTACCACTGGCAGAGAATGAGGAAAATTGTAATCTAGCAATTTAGAGAACACCGAGTAGAAGGAATCTATAGAAATAAAGATACTAAAGAGGATAGATTTTCAATAAAAAGAAAGTGGTGAATCCAGATTAACAAAGTCATGGATATTAGAGAATTAAGGCTTAGAAATATTTGATATGGACATTGGACAGAGAAATAACATGATTCTGCTATAGATCTAATTTTTGTCTCTGGCCAGTGGCAGAATGATCTGGAAATGGGGGAGATAAATATAGAGCCCTTGTCATGGTCAGATCATGCTCTCCTTAGGATGGACTTCCGGACCGCTTCCCCCCGCCGCAGGGAGACGGAACCGCCTAGATGGTTCCGTCCCAGGCGCCTGATGGACCCGGAGAGGTTCCTGACGGAGCT